GAAAGCTTCCTCTTTAAGTGGCCTAGTCTTAGGGGAAAACAGCCAGTTAAAACAAAACAAAACAAAAAACAGGCCCAAGTCCCTATGCCATACCCCTGCTTTCCATCTCTGTGCCGGACCACTGCAGAAGTCTAAGGGGACTCCCTGCCTGTTTCTGCCCTGTCCTCCCACCCACCTCCATAGAACTGAGTAACCCTAAAGCAGAAATCGAGCCAGGCTCAGTGGCTCAGCCTATAATCCCGTGCTTTGGGAGGCTGAGCTGAGTGGACTGCCTGAGCCTGCGGGTTCGAGACCCGCCTGGGCAACTTGGCGAGACCTCATCTCTACAATAAATCGAAAATTAGCCGGGCGTAGTAGCGCGCGCCTGTAATTCCGGCTACTTGGAAGGCTGAGGTGGAAGGATCCCCGGAGCCCAGCAGGTCGAGGCTGTGGTGGCCGGGAGCAGCCACTGCACTCCAGTCTGGGCGACAGAGTGAGACTCCAACTCAAAAAAAAAAAAAAGCAGAAATCGGATCACGTTCTCTCTTCCAGTGCTTTCAGAACAGGGTCCAGACCCCCCAGCTGGCCTCCAAGGCCTCCTATGATTCTCTGAGCCCTTCTCCCTTCATGCACGTGGGCTTTCTATCTGTTCCTCGGAGAATTCTACACTCATCACACCAGACATATAACCATCTGGGCTCGCCCCAGAGGCATTCTGGCACCTTGGGGAAGCTGCCCTCACAAGGCCTCCAGCCATGATCTTCCCCTTTCTGCCCTGGGACTTAATATCTGCATTGGTCACTCTCACTCCTAGGGAGTTTCAGCTGGATGGGGCCTTAGAAACTGAGACCAAAGATGCTATACCCATTGTACAGTGGAGGCAGGGGACAGGAGTGAAGGGCCACTGGGGCCTAACATAATCCAGTTTCCCTGACAAGCCCATATTCCTTAGCTCCCGAGAACTTATGACGGCTGCTCCCAGGGCCTTGGACAATGCCCAGTGGATCTTGTCTTCCTGTCACACCCACTGTCCCTACTGAGGTGGCCAAGTAGTCCCCTCCAGGGACTGCAATTCCTGCCTTAGGCTTTCCCCACCCCCTTCCTCACTCTCTCCTCCCGTCAGGCTCCTGAGCTGCCCTTTCTTCTCTGTGTGACAAGACATACAAAGTCTGGCCCACAGGCATCCTGCTGGAAGAAAGCTTGGATAAGGGCTGGCAAACTCAAGGGCCCACTAGGCCAGGCTGTGGCACTCTTACTCAAAAGGGGAGCTAGATCCTGCCACAGGACAGTAGTCACGAGAGGCCCTGAGTGGCCAGGTCTTCTAATTCTTCCCGCATAGCAGCTTTATCAACATAATCCACATACCATGAAACTCACCCATTTAAAGTCCACAAATCAGCGGGGTTTTTAAAAATATATTCACAATGAAATTTTTTTAAATAGAAAAGCTAGAGGCCAGGCTTGGTGGCTCAGCCTGTAATCCCAGCACTTTGGGATTCCAAGGCGAGTGGACTGCCTGAGTCCACAGGTTTGAGACCCACCAGGGCAACTTGGCGAGACCTCATCTCTAAAATAAAAAATTAGCCAGGCATGGTAGCGCGCACCTGTAGTTCCAGCTACTTGAAAGGCTGAAGCGGAAGGATCGCCGGAGCCCAGCAGGTGAAGCTGCGGTGGCCAGGAGCGGCCATGCACTCCAGTCTGGGCGACAGAGTGAGACTCCAACTCAAAAAAAAAAGAAAAGAAAAGAAAAGCCAGAATTCCTTGGGGTCCCAGATAATTTTCCTGATTTTTAAATATAGATGATTAGCCGGGCTCGGTGGCTCATCCTGTAATCCCGCGCCTTTGGGAGGCTGAGGTGAGTGGATTGCCTAAACCCGCGGGTTCGAGACCCGCCTGGGCAGCAAGACCTCATCTCTACAATAAATCAAAAAATCAGCCGGGCATGGTAGCGCATGCCTGTAATTCGGCTACTTGGAAGGCTGAGGCGGAAGGATCGCCAGAGCCCCTGCAGGTCGAGGCCGCAGTGGCCGGAAGCGGCCACTGCACTCCAGTCTGGGCGACAGAGTGAAACTCCAACTCAAAAATAAAATAAAATAAAATAAAATAAATATAGATGATTATGTTTAAGTGTTTTAAAATGTAAGTCCATCAAAACTTGTCAGGAGGCTGGGCTGACAGGTGATTCTGTCTTTCCGAATTCGAGCTCCATGGAAGCAGCACTATGGCTGGCAGACCCCGAACTCTGGGGCCTGACACTCAACAGGTACTGGAGTCGAGGATTTCTGAATGAACGAACCTAGAAAAGTACTTTGCCAACATGTAGCTGCAGAATCATACAACAAAGTGTGCTCTAAACAGTTCAAATATGACCATGCCCTATTGCTCTCACCAGGTCCAAATCCCAACCCAACACTGGGCTCCCGAACCAGGCTATTCCATCCGGTGGCTGTGACTCTTCCTCATGTCACTGTTAACATATACACAGAACAGAAAAGGCAAAGAGACCTCTGCTCCTCCACCCAAACCCAAAGTTGCAGGAAGACACCAAAGAGTTTTACTGCAAAACACCTGAGCACACCTCTCACCCGGACTCTTCCACCAGGGCATTCTCAAGTGCCACCATTCAGGTTTTCCACTGCCATGATGAGGTCTCCGCTGAGTCCTTAACATCCTCCTCCACTGTGGAGTTCACAAGCCAGCCTGGGGCAAGGCCACAAGAACTGACTCTAAGATGTGACACGGACTGTCTTCCTATGTATGCCCAGGACCTACCTGTAGGGGTCAAGGGGTAAGGACACCAGAAGGAGGCCAGTCCTAGCACCCGACTTACAGCAAGCCAACTGAAGACCTGGCACAAATTCAAGGCCTCAAGGGAGAAACACCAGCACTCTTACCATTCCCACTCACTACTGTGTGTCAGCCTCTAACCAAGCTCTTACCTATACTCACTCGCTCACTTTCACATGATCCCAGCAGGTGGGCACTTCAGACAGAGCCCCATTTACTGAAGCCCAGAAATTACCAACCTGTCCAAGGGCACTCAGGTGCCTAGTGGCTGGGCTGACAAACTGTGACTCTCCAAAGTTCATAGTCAGCCACCCTTTCTACCTCTTCCTTCGGAAATGGATGAAAACAGAACTGCAGTGACAGCAGGTTCAAGTCTCAGCCTTGCTTGGAATTGACCATAACCCTGAACAACTACTTCCTTTCTAAGCCTGAAGTCCCTCGCCTGTAAATGAGCGGTTTGGAGTCAAGGGCCTCTGGGGCTCTTCCAGTTCTAAATACTCCCTCTTCTCTGAAAGGAGGGAAGGAAAACCAAGCCCCTAGGGCAGAGCAAAGGAGAAAGAGCTGACACTGAGTTGGGCTGGGGAAACCTAACCCTATAGCCTAGCATTCTCAGGAACCCATGGTACCAGCCTCATCGTGCACGAGTGCAAACCACTGTTCTCAGCATGGGTGTAAAAGCAGGTGGATTCAGCTGAAGAAAGGTGGCTCCTGATGAGAGACCCTGTGTCAGGGGTCAGCTCAGCTCTGCAGAGCTAAGCCGCAGGGAGGGGAGGGTGGGGGGAGCAGCCTGTGGGTCTAGGAAACCCTCTGGCTTGGGTGCTTCCCCATGAGAGGGGGTGACCACCATGTGGAAGTCTGTCCCGCCTGCCCCCCAGAGCCTCCTCTTCCCAACTAGCCAGCTGCACCAGGGGCAAGCAGACAAGCATGAGCTCAGCCCAGGCCAATCTTCCAGCAACTGAGATGCCTTCCGGATGATGCAGGTCAGTGATATCCCATAATCCCCAGCCACTCTCAAACCCCAAACAGGGACAGCTAAAAACTGCCTGAGATATACATTTCAGGAAGGACTTGGAAGTCTGCTCTGTTTTGTAATCTGGGAACCTCACTCCAAAGAATCAGACAGGAAACTCCAAACCATCCACTCTTAACCCAAGAGGCCCTGCCATGTGGCCAGTCATCTTTCAAAAGGAAAAAACTGACCATGCCACTACCTCCCTTAGAATCTTCAATGGCACTCCACTCCTTCAGGCTAAAATCAGAACTGAGCACTCTATACAAGGCAGGAATGCTGACATCCCTTCCCAGATTGCTACACTACAGCCCCAGGGAACCAACTCCTCCACCAAAGAAGGAGTTCCCTTTCCAGGCCCTTTCTCAGGTATTTGCTACTCATCCTTCCCATTCAGTTTGGCCCACACTTCCCCCAGGAAGGCCTCCCTGCCCTACATTGAACCGGGTGCCTCCACTCCACTGAAAACGAACCCCATCCTTGGGGATTCCCTATACAGCCTCTTCCACACTGAATTCTGAGTGCGTGAGATTCTCGCCGGCAGACTGATTATTCACTGCAGTATTCTCTGTGCCTGACACAGAGCAAGCACTCAAAATGCACTGAATGAATGCCATTAAAGGTACGAGACTCATTCATTCACACACTAATCAAATGCTCACCAAGCTGCCTACTACAATGTGCCAGAGACTGCTGTAGGAGCTGGGAATACCGCAGCGGTCAAATATCAAAGTCCCCGACCCTGTGGCAATAAGACTAAGAAGCAAAATGACGCAGGGTAAGAAGGATAGGGACATGAGACCCAAGGTCAGGGTTTGCCAGTCTTTACAGGGTGGTCTGGGGAAGAGCATCACAGAACAAAATGCCCAAAGCAAAAGAGTGTCCGACATACTCCTGGAAGGCAAGGACGGAGGTTGCTAGAATGGTGTGAGGTAAGGGGCAACGCAGTCAGAGGCTGGCGGGGGCCAGATCGGGCATGGTCTTAGAAAGCATTCTGAGGACTCCAGGTTGTACTCCACTATGAGAAGCCACCAGGGCTTTAAGGAGGAGTGACAGCAGACAAGCGAAGAGGCTGAGCAACAATCTAGGTGGCCCAGGTTTGCAAGAGAGGAGGCGACACAAGTATTTAGATTTGGACAGGTTTGTTGTTGGCAGTTTGTTTGCTAGCTTTTTCCTGAGATGGGCTCGCTTTGTCACCCAGGCTGGAGTGCAGTGGCATGGTCACGTCTCACTAAAACCTTGACTTCCTGGGCTCAAGTGATCCTCCAATCTCGGCCTCTCAAGTGACTGGGACTACAAGTGTGTGCCACCACGCCTGGCTAATTTTTTTTATTTTTGCAGAGATAAGGTCTCACTATGTTGTCCAGGCTGGTGTGAAACTCCTAGGCTCAAGCAATCCTCCCATGCTGGCCTCACAAATTGCTGGAATTATAGGTATGAGCCACCATGCCCATCCTGGACAGTTCTTAAGAGTCAAAAGAATGACCAGTAAATTAGATGTGGAGTCACAAAAAAATAAAGGTACCTGGCAAGGATGACTGCAAGGTCTTTAGTCTGAGCAACCAGAAGTGTAGAGTTGCTTAACCTCTGCTGAGTCTCACTTTCCTTATCCATGAAGTGGGGATAAAAGAGCATCTGCTAAGCAGATTACTTGGGCTAGAACTGGTAAAACACTAGGTAAGTGGTGATGACTATGTCACTACTATTTATCTCAGGATTATCAGAAACCTAAATAAACTCGTGTCTGTGAAAAGCAGAGCGAAAGCCCAATCAGATCACTTATCCAGGTGGCCCCTGGCTACTGTGGGACTTAAGTCCCTCTGAGACTTGTAACTTCTCAAAAGCAGAGAAAAGGCGACCCTAAGTGGCTAGAACATTTTTCTTGAGAGCAAGGTGCTCATCACAAGTTTGGAAGGTTATTACAACATCCCTGGAAACAGGGTCTTTGATGGAGGTCATGTAAGTTTACCAAGAACTCCTCGTACTAAAACAGAGAAGTCCCTCACGATACATGACAAGCTTATCTGGCTGGCTTCACAGAATTCACTGGTGAAGGTGCACTCCTCACCCCTCCCCGTGCCCAGGGCTTTGCCAGTCCAAAGGTTCTGTCAAAGGAAGAAAGGTGCCAGTCAGGACTGTCCCAATGATTCTGGGAAAATCCTTCAGGGAGGGAGACACCCCAGGCTATCAGTCACGGGAAGTGGGCCAGGTGGCCCTGGAAACCATCACAAACAGCCCTTCCTGAAAATTCAGCTGACATCTGAGAAAAGGCATGGATAACCCCTGAGAATGGGGAGTCGCCTCAAACTACACATATCTGACTTTGGCATCTTTTAGAATAAAAACCATTTACATCTGTGTGGGTCACTTGAATTCATGAACTGGACTACCCCATAATAGTAAATGGATCCTCAAACAACCTCAACACAGAGATTAGCCCCACTCTGTGAATAAAGCAAGCAGAGGTTAGGCAAGCTAAGGTCTCCAGTGAGAGCAGGGAGAGAACTCTGTTCAGTTATTTTTTGCTTTTGTTTTTTTTTGAGTTGGAGTCTCACTCTGTCACCCAGACTGGAGTGCAGTGGCCGCTCCCGGTCACTGCAGCCTCGACCTGCTGGGCTCCGGCGATCCTTCCACCTCAGCCTTCCAAGGAGCTGGAACTACAGGCACGCGCTACCACACCCGGCTAATTTTTTGATTTATTGTAGAGATGAGGTCTCGCCAAGTTGCCCAGGTGGGTCTCGAACCCGCGGGCTCAGGCAATCCACTGACCTCAGCCTCCCAAAGTGCTGGGATTACAGGCTGAGCCACCAAGCCCGGCACTCTGTTCAGTTCTTAAGTCCCATCGCCTTCCCCCCTCACACCAACGTGCTATTTCCCATGTTCTCATCTCAGTAGCCAGGGGTCAGAACTTACTCCTTTCTTGAACCCCAGACAGGTAAGGCCATCCTCTCCTGGCCTCGGGACCAGCCAGGGAGGTTGGCAGTCTGGACGGAGGCACCTGTGAACCCCTCCTGCAGGCCCAACACCTAATTACTCCCTTTGAGCTCGTCTTGAATTTTACAAACAAGGCACTCCCATCTGCCAAGCTCTCTGTTTTAAAGAGGGTTCTGTGGTTTCAGGCCCCCTCCCAAAAGGGAGAATGGGTGCTGAGTAACAGCTATAAAAACGCGGCCTCCAGCTCAGGTCCCACTGCAGACAGCAGGTGGGTCAGCAGAGAGACTCCACCCCCTGGAGGTTCAGAGTTCATGAAGACTTGTGACTAGTCCCCACCCCCCCAGGGCCAGAAACTGCCTCCTAAACACCTTCCCCCTCTGGCAGGCACTCACTTCCGGGTCAGGGTGACACTCAAACTCCCTGTCCAGAAGGAAAGGGACCGGGCCAGTTGAAGGCTCCCCTCCCCCCTTCCTAATTGTATACTTTCTTTAGAAGAGGAGAAAGTGATTTGAACTACAGGAAAAAAAGAACCTTCGGCCTGATTCACTGAGGCTAACCTAGCAGTTCTCAGCTGGGACTGCACGATATAATGAGTTATAGAGTTAAAAGCAGCCAGATGCCTCTATCACTCCTGTTGCCAAAATGTCTTCTTATAGCCAGTTTGTTTGATTCAGTGCCACAACAACACAACTAACCAATGTCTCCATGCTCTTCATCTGTAACAGTTCTTCTCTTTTAACAATGCCATCTGAGGCCAGGTGCGGTGGCTTATGCCTGTAATCTCAGCACTTTGGGAGGCTGAGGGAGGATCACTTTAGCCCAGAAGTTTGAGACCAGCCTGGACAACATGGTGAGATTTTGTCTCAACTATAAATCAAAAAATTAGCTGGGCGTGGTGGCATGCACCTGTAGTCCCGGCAACTTGCAAGGCTGCGGCAGATCATCTGAGCCCAGCAGGTTGAGGCCACAGTGGCCATGATTGTGTCACTACACTCCAGCCTGGGCGACAGAGTAAGGCTCTGACTCAAAAACATAAAATTAAATTCCAAAAATGCCATTTATGGAAAAAACGTGTCTTATAGAATTTCTCACATTTAGAAACTGGGTTACTGCTACTTCATGGTTAATTACTCTGTTCCTCTATCTCCATTTTCCCTACCAACTGGCAGTAAGATCTACGGTCCTATTAGACCTGGGTTTAATTTTTATTTGGTGGGGGACGTTTTCATAGCTGGTGCTCTGTGCACGCTGTCAGGCACATCGTGCCTGGCTGCTCCATGATGCAACTCAAGCCACTGACGGGTTCCAGAAGCCCAAGTCTCTCCAGTCCCAGAGCTTGGATTCCTAATGACAGTGGCAAATACCACAAAGAGGCGCACACGTGAAGTTCCACGTGGGTTCCTTCTTTTGTAGAGAAGTTTATTCAAAAACAGTTCTGAATACCGAAAAAACTCTTTAGATACTCTAATTCCCTAGCTTTAAAGATGAAGAAACAAGAGGCACAGAGAAAGCCTGGGGCATGCTGGTGTCCACACGACTGGTCATGAGCACGACGATCACAAGTGGAGTTAACACTCCCAATAATGGCGATCATTTATCACAAAACCTTTTGAACAGCGGTTATCAAACAGGCAGCATGTATTAGGTGTTTGCCCTATGCTTGCACTGCACTATGCTAAAAGCTTTACAAACATTATCTTCTTGAATTCTCACAGTCCTCTGAAAGTTACTGGTATTCTCATTTCAAGGGCAAAGTAAAGGTGGATCAGAGCGGCCGAGTAATTCTTCTGATATTGCACAGCAAGTTACAGGCAGGGCTAAGAGTCAAAAGCGCAGCCTGATTCCAGGGCCAGACTCACTTCCATCCAGTCTACTTCCTGTGGTGGGAAAGAAGGGGGCCAGGATCCCAAGTGGCTCTGACCCTGCACGGACGGTCACATTCACAAGGACACCCAGCTAGTACAACCAGGAGAATCTAGGGAAAGGCTCAAACTCAGGAAGAAATGCAGAGGAGGGTGGAGGTTTCCTGGGGGCCAGCTCAGTGTGGCAGAGGATCCCTGCGCTATCATGGAATTCCTGGGGTACCAGGCTGGGTGATAGTCCTTTTTAAATTTTGTGACATCAAGGGGACACAGAAAAAATGATGCTCAGAACACAAGCACCTAAGTTTCATACCCTGTCCTTAACTTTAGCTCCAGTTTCTTAGTACACTGAGTTACAAGTGTACACACAACAAACCCACTGACTACCCCAATGGGGTGAATGGAGGCTTGTGGAGTGACAAAACGATATGCTCGACTTGCGATGGGGCTATTCCGCACACACCCACCATAAGTTGGTAGCTCAGCCTGTAATCCCGCACCTTTGGGAGGCTGAGGTGAGTGGATTGCCTGAGACTGCGGGTTCGAGACTCGCCTGGGCAGGCGAGACCTCATCTCTTCCAGCTCCTTGGAAGGCTGAGGCGGAAGGATCGCCAGAGCCCAGCAGGTCGAGGGTTGGGAGACAGAGTGAGACTCCAACTCAAAAAAAAAGAAAATGCATTTAAACACCCAACTTACTGAGCATCACAGCTTAGCCTAGCCTACCCTAAACGTGCTCAGAACACCTGCATTAGACTACAGATGGCCAGAATCATCTAACACAGGGCTTATTTTATAACCAAGTATTGAACACCTCATATAATTCATAGACTACTGTGCTGAAACTGAAAAATAATGATTGCACAGGAACCTGAAATACAGTTTCTAATAAATGCACATCATTTCCCCATCAATATAAAGTAAAAGAATTGTACATCCAACTAGTCTAAGCTGAGGACTGTTTGTACTCTCAAGTCTCAAGGTGCTGCATGTGCACCAGTCACAGCAAACTTTTAGTTCATTTAAATGGGCTGGCTTTCCCCCCACAGCCCTGAGAGCACATTTACACGTCCCTAAGAGTTTCTTTACAAAAAAGAAATATAAAAAAATTAAAACTTTTTTTTTTTTAGTCATACGGTCTCCCTCTGTCACCCAGGCTGGAGTGCAGAGGCACACTCATGGTTCACTGCCTCTTCAAACTCCTGAACTCAGGCTATCCTTCTGCCTCAGCCTCCTGTAGCTGGGACTACAGGAACTTGCCACCACATCGGATAATTTTTTGTAGAGATGAGAATTTTTTGTAGAGATGAGGTCTGGCTATGTTGCCCAAGCTGTTCTCAAACTCCTGGACTCAAGCATTCCTCCCGCCTTGGCCTCCCAAAGTGTTGGGATTACAGGCATGAGCCATCATGCCCGGCAAAAACTTATTTTTAAAATATTCATCATACCACATTCCAAATCAAAAATAGTTAATTCTTAGGGTCACCAATCTTTAATATTATACATACCACACCCTTCAGTCTGTGAACAAGCCAAAGTTCATTTTCAGGGAGAGAGACCCCATATTATTTCACAGAATACTGATACAATAGAAGGAAAAAGGTGTGCATTCTCCAATTCCCTCTTGCTACACGTGGAGAAAAACAGAGGCCCAGAGAAAGTCCGGCAACTCCCAGTCTCCCAGACACCCAAACAGCTACCCCATTGCGGGCACTGGCTTATGCTACACACATTATCACAATGAATGCTCAGAACGGTACCAGCAGGCAGGTGAATCATAAATACCCGTTACACAAATGAAAAGACTGAGGCACAGAATGGCTAAACAAAGTGCCCAAGGAGGCACAGCTAACAAGTGGTAAAGCTGGTATTTGAACTCATGCAGGCAGTCTGACCCCAGAATCATCACTGTCCATCATCTTTCAACTTTAGACATCTTGGATTTGACACTTAGAAAGGGTGTGGCTAGGATAAGGGAAACATTTTAAACATTAAAAAATAACCTGAGGTGGAACGGGGGATCCAAAAGCTAAAATGCAAATCCCAAGACTTAAAACTACAAATGTGAGACTTGGAGGCTTAAACCAGAATAGAGAACCCCACAAGAACGGAGGGATATTGCAAAACATATTTTATTACTAGTTACCGCATGTGTCCCTTAAAGAACTAAAACACCAGCATCTGAGCCAAAAGGAGGGCTAAAAATAGGCATTTGCAGCAAGCTTTGGAAAGCTTTTAGCTTGCTTATGAGGTACTCATTTCTGCAGACTCCCAAAAACATATGCATCACAGAACACAAAAATTCCCAAGACCACACAGCCACTCCACGGGTGTCACACTGAAGTTTGTCCAAGTTGCACATAAAACCAGAGCTGGAAAAAGGCCTTACAGATCCATGAGACTCCAGAGAAAGGGCTACAACCATACCAGACAAGGAACCCAATCACAGAACTCTCTCTCAAAAAACACCAAAGCCCTAGCAGGCTTAGAGAGAAGCTCCTGGATTAACAGAGTCTGTCAGAAACGATTCCAAAGGTTCTAAACCAATGAGTAGACACTCTCTTGCCTTAAGATTCCAGAAAAACAAGAACAGAGCAACTCTACCCCACTCAGGATTTCACTCTGAGCCCTTCAAGCAAGTCAGCTTCTCCACTCAGAGAAAAAGGCGAGATGCCAGGCAAGCTGTCTTCTTCCCACGATCAATAATCCCAGTGACGCGAGCTATCAAGGGCCGCTGGACCTACACAAAATGCCAGCTCAGGCACCCAATACCACCTGATGTCATGGCTGACTTACAACCCACACGGCAGGTTCACCACTAGCTCGGCAGCAGCAGGCAGGGTGAGGAGCCCCATTGAAACTTCAGAGGAGTGCTCCTCTCTCCTGGGGATGATTATACCCTTTTGGGTTGAAAGAGGGGGGAAGAACCAGAGTGTCTTACAGTTGTTTTCCCTCACTCTGTGGGTGGATAGGAGGGGTTTGAAAGAAAATGGAGGTTTCAGCACTGCCCTTTGCATAAGAGGGTTCTGGAAGGGAAAGGGGGAAGGGGAGGAGGGCAGAAGGAAGAGAACACGGTTTGAGGTGCTGTTAGTGAGCCTCCCATGTCCCCTCCTCCAAATGAAGCAACCTGAAAAGAAATAAAAATTGCAACACGCTGTTTTCAGGATTGGCCATTTTGGCTTCCTAGGACTAGGGGTGACTCGACTCCCTCGAGGGTGAAGACCTTCAGCCCCCCTTCCACTTTCCCCGTTTGGATGGTTTACGCCAGTCGGCCTCAACCAGCGCCTGCAGAAGGGGAGGAGTTTCGAAAGAGCACCAGGGCTACCGCCACAGGCCACCATCCTAACTGCACGCCAGCTTCCACGCCGACCCACTTCAAAAGGACCCCAAACCAAAGGCTCCAGGACCGCCGCGTCCCGCGCGCCGGCAGAGACAGCAGAGAGGGCGCGCCCCCCGCCCGAGCCGACGGTCTATTCTCGGCCCAGGGAAACCGAGAGCCGCCTCCATATTCGGCACCGCCTCTGCCCGACGCCGACGCGGCCCGGCCGGGGTTTCCCGCCCCCTCGCCGGCC